TGAACACCTTCAGGAGTAAATTGGATGCTTATCTCGCTGGGATCCTATGACCTCAGCTGACTTCCTGCCCTTTGGGCGGGGGGCTGGACTCAATGATCTTCCGAGGTCCCTTCCAGCCCTAATGTCTATGAACTCTATGAGATCTATGAAAATCAGGGTTGGAAGGGACCCCAGGAGGTCATCCAGTCCAATTCCCTATTCAAAGCGGAACCATCCCCAACTACATCATCCCAGCCAAGGCTTTGTCAAACAAGGGCTTAAAAGTTTCCAAGGATGGAGATTCCACCACCTCTCTGGGTAACCTGCTCCAGTGCTTTATTACCCTCCTACTGGGAATTTTTTTTCCTAACATCCAACCTAAACCACCCTTGCAGCAACTTAGAACTATTGTCTGTTGTTCTCTCACCTGCCATCACTGAGAACAGTCTACCTCCATCCTCTTTGGAACCACCCTGTGGGTAGTTAAAGTCTGCTAACAAATCCCTTCTCAGTCTTCTGTTCTCCAAACTAAATAAGCCAAGTTCCCACAGCCTCTCCTCAGAAGTCATGTGCCCCAGCCCCCAAACCATTTTTGTTGCTCTCCACTGGACTCTCTCCAACGTATCCACATCCTTTCTATAGTGGGGTACCCAAACTGGACACAGTACTCCAGATGTGGCCTCATCAGTGCTGTATATAGCACAATAATTACTTCACTGGGTCTGCTGACAACACTCCTACTAATGCAGCCTCATATGCTCTTAGCCTTCTTAGCAACAAGGGCACAGTGCTGACTCATAGTCAGCTTATTGTCCACTGTAACCCCCAGGTCCTTTTCTGCAGAGCTGCTGCTTACCCAGTCAGTCCCCAGGCTGTAATGGTGCATGAGATTGTTCTGTCTTAAGTGCAGGACTTTGCACTTGTCCTTGTTGAATCTCATGAGATTTCTTTTGGCCCAATCCTCCAATTTGTTTAAGTCACTCTAAATCCTAGCCCTACCCTCCAGCATATCTACTACACTCCGCAAACTTGCTCCGCTACCATCGGCAAACTTGTTGAGGGTGCAGTCCATCCCATCTTTCAGATTGTTAATGAAAATATTGATACCAGCTGCCAGCTAGGCATTGAGCCATTGATTACTGCCCACGTTCTATCCATTGTACAGTCCATTCATCCAACCCATACTTCCTCAGCTTTCTTGCGAGAATGCTGTGGGAGACAATATAAAAAGACTTGCTGAAGTCAAGGTATATTACATCCACTGCTTTCCCTGCATCTACTGAGAAAATTAGCTCATCACAGAAGGCAATGAGGTTGGTCAGGTATGACTTGCCCTTTTGGAATCCATGCTGGCTGTTCTTAATCACCTTCTTCCCCTCCAAGTGCTTAGAAATGGACTCTTTGATGACCTGCTCCATGATTTTTCCAGGGACTGGTCTGTAGTTCCCTGGGTCCTCCAGTACCTCCCTCAATCACCACAAGTTTTCAAAGACTGGATCTTCAATCACATCAGCCAACTCTTTCAGCACCCTTGGATGTGTTACATCCTGGCTCCATGGACTGTATATGTCCAGCTTTTCTAAATAGTCCCTAACCTGTTCTTTCACCACTGAGGGATGCTCACCTTCTCCCCAAACTGTGCTTTGTGCAGTAGTCTGGGAGCTGACCTTGCCTGTGAAGACCAAGGTAAAAAGAGGCATTGAGTTATTTTCCTCATCATTTGTCACTAAATTGCCTCCCCCATTGAGTAAGGGGCCCACACTTTCCCTGACCTTCCTTTTGTTGCTAACATACTTGTAGAAACCCTTCTTGTTACCCTTCACAGCCCTTGCTAGCTGCAACTCCAATTGCATGCCTGAACAATATTCTTAAAAATTGAGCCAGGAGCAAGATCAAAGCACAAGCAACTGTTAAGCCTGGAGTGGGCAGAAAGTGAGGCCACAGAGCCAGAGAAGGGTCAGGGGCCCAGCACCTGAGAGGGACATAACCAGACAGGGACAAGGGGCATGGCAGACAGGAGCTAGGGGCCCAGAGCTGGTGCCTCAAACCTAGGTCCAGTATAGTGGGCCCTAGCTAGAAGGCCTAACTGAAAGTAGAGGGGTGAATGCCGAGAAGGCTGAAGCCCCAGGAAGAGAACAATGTTACTGTAACACCCATGAGACTTGGGGTATGGTATAGGGAAGGATTGGAGCCATACAATTGCCCCTACAGCTTTAGGTGCCCTGCAGGGCAGGGTCAACCAGAGACCCAGAGAGGGGCCTGAGACCAGTAGAGGCCAGTAGGGTGCCAGGGAACCCCAGTAGGGGGTTTCATCTAGACTGGTGCCCATGTGAAGGTCTGTCAGCAGCCTCCCTTTTACTATTATTATTATTCTATCAAGGTGTGGGAGGGGTGAGAAGAGAAGGTACCCCAGGGGCAGAGCAGGGCACAGTTTCAGAGACACTGGGGAAACCCTGACATGCTACAGTTTCCCTCATCTCTTTTCTTGTAGGCACTTTCTCCTTACTTCTCCTATGCTCATTTCCCTCAGTTATCTGGGCAAATTACCAACCTGTTGCTACTGATCTTCAATGGCTCTTCATCCACTGCAAAACCTAGGCTTAAAGCCTCCATCTCTTCCAGGAAGGTGCCCAATAACAACAACCTTTCTTGATGCTTCACAAGTCTAGTTAACACAACAACCCACACCAGGTCAGCTTTCCTGCCACGAACCTCTGGCAGGCTGTGTACTGTAGACAATTTCCAGTCTGCCAGTTTTCTTGTTTGTCACAAGATCAAATGGTGAGTGCCTTCATCCCAGCTGCTGGTGTTGCTCCTTGGTAAGTTCAAAACTCAGTATAGCTTGTTACTGATACTTAGGAACCTATGTCACACTCCTAAGTCATTTCAGCACTTTGGAAAATTTTACCGTGTGTTTAGCTTGAATAAATATTGGCCCATGAGTCCGACCTGCATTACTTACTTTGGATGTGAAAAACCAACTGTTTGCACTGGGAAATATTTGCTTTGTATTATTTAGGATTTAATTTATTCACTGTTGCTGCTCATGAATTTGGTCATGCGTTGGGGCTCGGACATTCTACTGATCCATCTGCTTTGATGTATCCCACCTACAAATACCAGTCTCCATTTGGATTCCGCCTGCCAAAGGATGATGTAAAAGGGATCCAGAAATTGTATGGTATGTATTATATTTTCCTGAACTAGCAAAAAATCACTGAATACACAATAAAAGAATCATAACTAGTTTCCAGCCTGCAACTGGTGCATATTGAAATTTGATAAATCATGTATTTTATGCTTAGGATGGTCAATAAATCATGTTTCTATCATCTTGTTGATGAAAAGCTTACCATGTAAATGTGGTAGAAGAATTTTCTTCTCCGGTTATATCAATTGGGATGGATTTCCTATGTAGTACACCAGAAGATTACTACAAGGCTTCATTTTTCTCTGGAGCAATAAAACCTGATAGGGGCAGATGAGTAGCACCATATTTGATGCAGTTAATTTTCTATGACCCCCAAATTGTGAGCACAGGCAGGCTTCCCACTTTCTAACTGGGTGTCTTGCTAAGCCCTCATTTCTGTGGCTTAGAAATTGTCTTATATATATATTTATGTTATAAAGCATCTTAGTGCATGTAGCTGCCCATATTAGAGACTCATTCAAATCCCTTAGCAATTCATATAACTTTGTATTTGTCATTGTAGTTTTCAAGCATATACATAAACAATCTGGGCCATTCCCAGAAAGTTATGCAGACAATGCCACTGCTCCAAAGAGATGCTATTCCAATATTGCACAAGTGAGGGTCATAAACAAGAGAGAAGGAGTACATAAGATTTAAATGAGGAAAGGAAGCTAGGTTAGTATGTTCTGCAAGCTCATGCCATGTACAGAAAACACTATGTCAAAAAGCACTGAGGCAGGTATTGAACAATCTCTGAATATTCACCTCAAGATAGAATAGTGCATTGTTCCTATTATAAAACAGATTACATTGATTATTTGTTCTGAGAATAAGATGAAATATTTTAGAGGCAAACAAAGTATATTGTGGCTAGACAATAATGTTGAGGTTTGCCAATTTCATTACTACTCTAAGTGGCTGCCATGCTATGAAAGCAAATGGAACTGCACCAGCAGATACCAGCACAGAAATTATTTCACCTCCTCAGTATAACTGCATGGAGTAGTGCTGTAGACATTAGAGTTGTGCATGGTGGCTCCAGCAGACAGTGGAAGAAAAGTATCTCAAACATAAGCAAACAAACAAAATACATAAATACACCCAATGACCAGAAGCACTGAGCATATACAGAAATTTGCACCATCACAGTAAAAACTCTTGTTGTTGTTGTTGTGTCAGGACCTCGGAAATCTCGGGCAGAAGGGCCCAAGGCACCACAGAACCCTCCTACAAACCCATCAGGTCCATCAAACCCAGATCACTGTGATGCTACCTCATCATTTGATGCTGTCACAATGCTGGGGAAAGAACTTCTGTTCTTCAGAGACAGGCAAGGTTACATTCCCTGTGTCATCCCATGGTAACAGTATATTAGAATATGTGCTTTTTCTCCCTAGGAACCTAGACATGGGCTACTGAGCACCCTCAAAAATGCCCAGCTCCCACCCAAGCTCTGATTCACACTGGAGCTGGAAGGGCTGAGGACTAAATCCTATTTTACTAAATCCAGTTTCAGAACTGCAAGTTCTGGCACTTGCTCATTGTTTGCATTCTATTTCCACCTGTTACGGAATAGGATTCCCCAAGGATGTATACCTTCTACAAGTAAAATGGAGGAGAAGAAGAAGGAGGAGGATTCTACCATCTTTTAGCCAAATAACCCTGTGACTCAGACATTTAGCCAGGCAGTGGAAGACTTGGGTCCTAAGCTTCCCTCACCCAGAAAGAGTTGGACTCTACATCTCCTACTTCCAAGCAACATGCTTTTACTACCAGGCCATAGGCTAGCCATTGCCTGGTGCACCCTCAAGCCATCATCTTGAAGCTAATCCCCAGGGAAAAGAAGGAATATTTCTATGACCAGGAGGAGAACAAGCTAGAGAGTGGTTGGTTCAGTGAGGGGGACACTGCCCTTGAAGAAGAGAGCCCTGATTTACACCCCCCATTTAAAGCCACAAGACTTTTCTGTACCTTGCATTTAATGTTTGTTGGCTAAAATGGTTATTCAATGGTTGGATGGTTTCTTCCCCATTGACAGTGGAAGCCAGTGCCAGAACCCAGGGCCTTCTTCCTTCCAGGGTGGTGTCCATCTCATTGACTCAAACACCCTCTATCTTGCTAGCCTCCTGGTCCCACACATAATCCCCTCCTGTCTGTTAAGTGGTCCTTCTTCAAGAGAAGGGCTTGAGGGTGCTCTTGGCAATGGCCTGGTTATTAAAGGACCTTGTTAGCAAGGGGGAGAAACACGTTCTAGTGGGTGAGGAAGTCCTATAACCCGGGTCTCCTATTTCCATGGCAAGTGTCTTAACCATCTTCTCACTCTCACCAAAAGTGGTGTTACAATAACTGCAAAATTTAGCTACTGGAATACCTCAGAATTACTGAAATCCGAGTTTCTCTGCTTTCAACTTTGGTATATGTTAAACAAGCAGTAGATGATGTGTGCTCTGGCTGTGATAGAAATGAAACATTTTTTTACCATCACATGCTGAAATCCTGGCCTCACAGGCTAAATACAGACAGTCAAAAAGCCTGAGGCTGAATCAATTCAATCTTTGTAGGTTAGTCTAAGCCAGGGACAGGCAATTATTTTGAGCGGAGGGCTGCTTACTGAGTTTGGCAAGCCTTCAAGGGCTGCATGACAGGGAGCCAGGGGCAGATAAATATTAATTTTCTAAATTTTTTTAGGAGCCCCAAAGGCCAGATAGAATGGGAGTGGCCCCGGCCAGAAGCCAGGGGGTGCTAAAGCAGCCCTCCCTGCTGGCTGAGGCAGACACCTTGGGCTAAGGCTAGCCAACCCACTCTTGGGAGGTTTGCAGGGGAGATGCAAAACATCCTGGAATGCTGGGGGGCTGAGAGTTAACTTGGAGTTGGAGGGAATCTGGGACAGAAGTTCAATAAACTAATTTAACCTAAATCAATTAAGTCTGATACTACATCCATCCAGGTTTATCTTAAACTGGCCATTTTGAAAGCCGTTTATGTGCACTGAACTTCTGTAGTGTTGCAGATTTGAACTGGTTTCCAATCACTTATACCGGTATATATGTACCTTCTGTTCCTAGCCATAAAAGCCATTAGCAAAATTACTATTAGACTTGGATTTAATCCAACATGGTGAGGTAACAGACTGGAGAATGCAAGTTGTAAGGAAAGAGTGAGCATCTCCCATTGTGCAAAATGTTCTACATGACCACATTAGTAACCTCCATAACAGAAAAGTCTTCAAAAGCTTGTAAGTGTGGAAGCAAATACACACATTCCCTGGATGAGTTTCAGTCTGTGTTGATCACTGAGAGCTTAGTGATATTTTGGGAAATTTGGGCTGCAGATGGTATTTGTCTCTGTTTCCCTTCAAATTTACCATGGGGCAACTAAAAGCTCTGATTTCCCTGAGGAGCACTTTACTTTTACTTTGGTCACCTGTATGGTGCAAGAGCAGAGGCCAGAGGTTCTGTACTGCTTTGAGGAATGTCACCTCCTTTTTTTACTGCAAATATGCATGTCAAGTGGCCAAAAAGACACCTGTCTTTGGTGGCAAAAAAACAGATGACATCCCCCTCAGTAGCAGCTCCTGTCCCGCATGCTGCCATCTCGTCTCTCCCCTTCCTGCTGCCAGAGCTGGAGCTAGAGCTGCTACAGATGGAGTGGGAGCTGCAGCGAAGGAAGTTGAGGAGCCCCTACCTCCACTCTGCATCCCCACCCCACCCTTTCCTTAGGCTGGACTTGGGGCTTGTGCCACTTGTTGTTAGGATACTGCTGTAAACCCAAGCTCCAGGACCCCTGGCTCAGCCATGGCTCTCTGGGTGTTTAAGTTCCTAGTAAGAGCTGGAAGCCTAGAAGTCCTGGAGGCCACGAGCCTCAGAAATCAGGACTGGGAGTCCCACATGCTTGGCAGAGAGCTGGAAGCCCTGAGAACTGCATGGTTTTGAGGTTCCTGGCTCTGAATCAGAGAGCATGGAAACACTGAGGTCCCATATAGGACAACCCATAAGGTAGGGCTAGCTCCCCTAGTACCACAGACTGTAGAAGGCCTATATTTTCACCTCCAGTTGATAAAACTGTCCCGTTGACAAAGCTGACTCAAGGTCATGTATTTCAAGCCCAGACTTCTCCACAGACCATGGGGTGAGCTGTCATGAAACTAGAAAGGGGTCTGATAGATTGCTGCCTGTGTTTCGCAGGCACTTTGTCAAAACGAATGCATTTCAACAAAATTCTTCTACTTCAGTTTTCACAACCTGTTTGATTAGAAAATTCCTAACTAGTGAGCGGGCATGGAAACCAAATTATCAGAAATTAACTGCATCCTTTACTGGTATTGTGCAGCATATGCCATATTTTTTTAGTTTTGTATTTATCTCAGAAAACACTGTTTTCATTTCAACGTCTCATAGAAAAAAATGGCAAATGCCTTTTATTCCACAAAATAATTTCCTTTTAAGGAGTTACTCTATGTCACTGGTGAATCATAAGCACTATCTGTACTAGTGAAAAGGGAAGCATGACCATGGCTCTTAATACCAGTTCAGTTTTTTCCACTGAAGATAATATGGAGTGCCTGAGAACAGGTACTGGGGTCACCCATGTTCATTTGAGAGCTACGATCAGCCCAGACCAAGTAGTTACAATAGGGACAGTCTGCTCTGCTGAGGACTCATGGATTGTGTAACTTTTTCACACAAGTCAGACATACAGGTAGCATTTTAGCTGAGGAGAATTGAGGCCTCAGATTCTGGAATCTGATACCTACATTTCTTGAGCTCCTTTTCAAATCCCAACTACAAACCTCAGTGTGATTACTTCCAGTGAGGATCAACAGGAAAACTTCTTTCTGCTTCCCCCACCCATCCTCTTTCCTGTATATTAATTTTGATATTGTTTTTTGTTTGGAAGACTTACAGAAGGCTTTAGAAGATTTTAGGGAAGAACTTGAGTAGCCATTGCCTGCTTGCACAACAGTTGCAATTTCACAGCTGGCTAACAGAAAGTCACAAACCCACAAAGGAAGTGGGGAATAACTCAAGAAAATCTCTTGACAGTAGATGCTGCCTGTTTGAGACAAGCATCACACATCAGTCCAAAGACTGAAAAACCAATGCTCCAGAATTGCTTAGAAATAAAAATCCCCTATTTACATTCTTCCTGAAAAGAGTGCTAGACATATAATTTCCCAATAATGCATTACATTTTGAAAGAATAATTCCTGTTCTTTAGAGCAATCTACTTCCCCCCCACCATGTGAAGTATTCCTTGTGGTACAGGAAGACAGAGACATGGCTGTAGACCATACAAAGTGGATTCTTTATGGAAACCACTGACATAAACACAGCGCATCTACTCATGCACTTTACTGTGCATTAGACTAATTTAATACACAGTTAAGCATTACTGTCTACACATGCACTACAATTAGTGTGCAGTAGATTAATTCACTCTGATGTAGGATAGTCAGACACAAGTACTATCCTACACCACAGTAAAGTACTGCAGGTACATGTATGTGTAGATGGTGATGTCAGAATTACTTTACTTCAGCTCAAATTGAGCCAGGGTATATTCAGTCACATTAATTCTACATGCAGATGCACTCACTGACACTCTTTAATGTACTTTTCTATCTGCCAAACTAAGAACTACATGAGAGCAAACCTCTTGTATGTGCCCCAGGAAAGCCATTAATATCACATCAAAATTAAGCATGTGCTTGTGTGCTTTGCTGGACCAGGATCCAACTAAATGCATTCTGTGATGTCTAAGGATACCATGCAGGCCCTTCCAAAGTCTTGGCCTAGAAATGCCAACAATGGAAGCTGTTGCACAGAGAGGACACTGGTGTCCTCCAACCCAGTTCAGAGTAAATCTTCACAACACTGGGCATGTCTACATATGCCCCTTTAGTGCCATTGTTACTGCACTGTAACAGCCCATACTGTGCCATGCCAGTGACGCAGTTATTTTTAGCCCCTGCATTGCCATAGCAATGCGCTATAACAGCGGTTCCCAAACTCTGTCAGACTGTGCACCAATTTAAAATGATACACTCTTAAATACCATCAGCAAATTTTTGTCATATAAAGTAATTATAATAAATCTGTTAATGCGTACCACTGACAGGTTGTCTGCATACTACTGGTGGTACCATGGGCAACTGGTGCCTCCTGACTCTGGAGTGGGCACCAGTAGCCAATCGCCAACCCTGGAAGCACTGGTAGCAAAACTGAAAGTGCACCAGCTGGTGTTCCCCACCCCCTGGCCAGCAAGGGCCAATATCAGGGGGCTACATGCCCCCCTGTGCCCTCCCTACACGTTGCCTATGGGTGGTACACATACCACATATTGGGAACCACTGCGCTATAACAAGGGAGCACGTTGCTATTGCAAAGTAGCAACAGCATCAAGGTTTTTGCCCACAGTTGCTACAGTGATGTTATATCGTGTAGATGCATCCACTGTGATCAAAATGCTCATAGGTGATCTGGATAGTGTTTCCACCCTTTGGGAATTCTGATGGAGTTGCTCCAGCAGTAAGGACAGATTTCTTGAAAGTAACCAATATACGTAAGGCGATAGAAGCTAGAGAGTGACTTGATTACAAAAGACTACACAGTCCCAAACAAAATTTTAATTAATGTAACATCCCATATTTACCTAATGGAGAAGTAGGACTGATTTTTTTTTTAAGGTGGAAAAGAACTAGAGCTGGCTGGAAAACACTACTGCATGCTTCTTGGTAAAGCAGGGCTATCTGCAATCCAAGCAATATTTCAAATGTTTCTTCTCCAACTTTTTCTTCTCTGTTACAAATAGGTTCTTCTGGAGGAGACAGGCTCAGCTGACAACAAACGTCTGGCCAAACACTATCACTGGCTCCTTTCCTCAGCTTATGGGAAATGTGGATGCTGCTTATGAAGTTGCTGAGAGAGGAGTGGCTTATTTTTTTAAAGGTCAATCTTCCTTATGAATTTGGATAAGAAAGTTCAGGGAGGGAAAATCTCCCAACTTTCCAGCCTCTGGAAAGTTGAACGTGTTTCCTTTGATCGCCAGCTACATCAAACCTGAAGACAACAGTTTCTTCAGCTAAAGAGAGCTGCTGGAGGAAACTAAGAGACAGAGCTTATTGGTGCATATTCGGTGCCACAATAGCAGTGCTACAATGCTAGTATGTGAGGAGCAGGCATGGTCAGTATAACACTGCAGTGGTATGTCTCAGCCTGGTTTTGTCTTGCAATATATAGACCTATCCTGTAATCTATTATGTCAAAGAGCCATTAATAGCAGAGAAAGACCCATGTGTGTGAGTTATATTTAATAACCTTAAGGAGAAAGTAAGCAACACCCCACTTTTTCTGTGTCACAAGGTTTCATATTTAATGTTTAGTTCTTAGCTAATTTACAGCAATACAGCAAAGTTTTCTTGATTCTGACTTGAATGGTTATATCTGAATTGCTTCAGTTTGCTATGAAGATAGGCAGAAGCAGAGCTCAGAATACCAGAATTACTCCTCAGTAGAAGAATGTTATCTAAAGGAGACTGGGTTTTTGGTTGTAGCCGGGTTGGTCCAAGGACATGGGCAGGCAAGGTTGTTTGAGTAGATGGGATATCTGTTATTAGACCAACTGAGTAGAACTTTTTTCAAACTAAGTGGAACATTTTCCCAACTATTCAGTTGGTCTAATAAAAGATATCACATCTACTCAAAGAAACTCACAATTTAAAGGAGCAAAATTCAAAAAGCAACCCCCACCCCCCCCAGATTACAAGACTATTTAATAGCTACAAATGCTAGAAGGGACAATTGGAACCCCCAATCTCACATCCTGCTCTAATGTAGGCCATTGTATTTCACCCATAATCCTTGCATCAACCAAGTTGAGCTAAAGTATCTCTTTTAGAAAGGACTGGAGTGTTGGTGTAGCTGTGATGCTCCAGGAACTGTGTAAGTGGCAAGCGTTTAGTGTGATATCTCTAATTCTCCTAACTGTATAGTTGGGATAGTTACTGAACAAGCTTTTATGCATCAAGTGTCCTTCCTCTGGTCCTTCCTCAAGAGGACATCACAGAAAACGTCCGGCCAGCTTCCCCCTTCTCCTTTACAGTGAGGGGGATCCTCACTGTATGAGTGCTTCTGCTGACAGCAGTAGTGACACTATGACAGAGAGAGAAAGACAATCTGTCAGGTAGCCAGGTCCCAAGACAGTTAGGACCTCATAAGATACTATCCACATGTTAAGGTACACTTAAAGACTAATGAGCAGACAATAAAGGCATTAAAGTACTGATGTCACATGGCCTACATGAGTCATTCCCCAAATTGTGCTGTGCACCAGTTTTGTTAATTTAAGTGGGATTTTTTTTCTACAGTTAAGATGGACAAATTGGATCTCAAGAATATTGCAGAGAAGCTGATAGTCCCTGTGTAATGTTTTGTAGGTCCTCATTATTGGGTAACTCGAGGATTTCAAATGCAGGGATCTCCTCGGACCATCTCAGACTTTGGGTTTTCAAGAAAAGTTCAGCACATTGATGCAGCTGTCCACCTAAAAGATGAAAAGAAGACACTCTTCTTTGTGGGAGATGAATACTACAGGTGAATTCTTTATTTTCAGTTATTTTAGAATTGAAACAATATTATTGTCCAATAAGATAAAGGGGATACAAATGAAAACACTTTAATCCTATTTATGTCAACAAGAACATTGAGGACATGGAGAAGTTAGAAAGGGTGCAGAGGCAAGTGACAAAACTAATAAAGGTCTTCAGAGGCAAGTCACACTGGGAGAGGCTAAAGTAAATAGGAATGTTCAGTTTGCAGAAAAGGTGCTTAAGAGGAAATAGGATAGCAGCCTTCAAATATCTGAAGAGTAAAGAAGAGGGAAAATACCTTTTCTCTTTTACTGCAAAGAGTAAGACATGGACCAGTGGCTTAAATTTGCAGCAAAGTAGGTTTAGATTGGATGTTAGGAAAAAACTTCTGCTCTGTTAGAACAGTGAGGCAGTGACCTAAGGAGGTTGTCAACTCTCCATCATTGGCAGTTTTCAAGAAATGGTTTGGATAAGTATTGGTCAGGAATGATCCAGGAGGAGCTAACCTGTGTTCTTTATTGGGTATTTCCCATGCTTGTGGGCTTTGCTAGTTACCGTATGGGGCCAGGAAGGAATTTTTCCCCCCCTTCTGCTGCTACATGTGCTCCTCAGAAGCACTGGGAGTTGGTTGCAGCCAAGCCCTGAGGATTGTGACTGGGATATGCCAGTGCTCCTGCCGGACCTTAAATTCAGAGTTTTCTAGCTAGAGGGTCTGGTCCCTCCACTCAGTATCAGACTGATTATCATTTTGGAGTCAGGAAGAGATTTGACCTTGTGGTCAGATTGGTATGGACTGTAGGGAGTTTTCCCTTCCTCTACAGCAGGGGACATGGCCCTCTCCCTTGGATCTCAAGTGTATATTCAACAACGCCAATAGCAGCAGGACACTAGCCACCGTTGTCTCCCTGCTTTAACTGTGGCATGTTAGGGTGTTATGTCTTGTGAGTGTGTCAGGGTTGAATGTGTAGCTCTACTAATAGGTTAGTGTGATGGGATTGAACACCCTCCACCCCCAAGGGGCGGCCATAAAACCGTTTGGCCACATGGCTCCTGCCCTACTCTGGCTCCTCGGGTACCCTTCCTCTTTTCTCTCCTGCCATGCCTTTGTTGGAATACTTTGATTACAAAAAAGAAAGGCTGCCCCAGGGTCCCAAAGTGAACCTTTGTTTTGACTGGCAAGTCCAGGATCCTGGATCCTGCTGCTTCCAATGTTGCCTTTATGTACACAGTGGACCCTCCTGGACCCATCCATGTTCCAGGACACCAGTTGCCTAAAGGGCTACTCATGGCCTCTGTCCACCCCTATAGATTATTTCATGGTGCTACATGGATAATTACTGTTATGCTAATAGCTCCATTGGCATTTACAAGTTAGTGCTTGTTACTTGCTACTTTTTGGTACCATGTGCAATAAAGAAACCCTTGCGGAAAATTTCAGTCAAGTATGTTCACTGAGTCAATGCCATCAGGAATGTATTCTATTTATGAGTGAGAACTGTATATCTACATTGGTTGTCAAAATAAACATTAATACAGTTCAACTTCCAGTTTTGAAAGTTTTTACCTCTTTTTGTCCTTTTTTTCCAAGTTGGTTGCTCAAAAAGCAAAGGAACATTTTTAATAGATTGTATGAAGGGGGGAAAACAACAGAAACTGAAAACTAAAAATTTTTATTTTTTTCTTTTTCCTTCACAAAAATAGGAAATTTCTCCCAAAAATCTCCATGAAAATTTTCATGTTCTAAAAAAAAAGTATCCAAAGAATTGCTTTTGACCAAAATAATCTTTTAGCAGATTTTCAGATAGCCTAATTTAAACTTAGTCCACACTATTCAAATAGAAAACAGAAAAGACAAAGAGTGGGTGTAATATTTATTTTCACAGCTGCCCAAACCAATAAGCAACCATATTGCTTCATTCCCAACAAGCCACAAGCACACCTGTGAAGGGAGTATTAAAGTGATTAGACCTTGTTGTGCTAAGGCATGTGTACTTTTCTTAAGTTCAAGGATTCTGCAGTAAGTCAGGGTTCAATTCTGGGCAGATCATACAAATAAAAAGCAATTAGCAGTGTTTTCCTAGATTATGTTTATAGACATGTTTCATAATGTCCACATAATTGCAGATACAGGCAGACCTGGATAGGCTCGAGAGTTGGGTAGACCAGAACCAGCTGAATTTTAACACTTCCAAGTGTAAGGTGCACCATCTGGGTGTAAACAACCCTCAATATACATATGGGCTTGGTAGTGACATCTTGACTTACACCACAGCTGAAATGGACCTAGAGGTAATGATTGACCATCGCATGAATATGAGCCGTCAGTGCAAAGTGGTAGTCAGCAGGGCAAAAAACCCACTGGCATGCATCAACTGATGCATCTCATGTAAAACTAAGGAAGTGATACTCCCGCTGTACTCAGCCCTCGTGAGACCTTAGAGTACTGAGTCCAGTTCTGGGTGCCGCACTTCAGTAAGGACGTGGAAAAACTTGAGAGGGTCCAGAAAAGAGACACCCATATGATCATGTACTTGCAAGGCAAGCCATATGAAGAAAGGCTGAGGGACCTTAGCCTCTTTAGCATAAAGACAAGAAGGTTGAGAGGCGACTTGATAGCGGCTTACTGCAATATCAGAGGAGTGCATCAGGAGTTCAGTGACCAACTGTTCACTAGGGCACCCCCGGGGAAGACCAGGACCAATGAAGACAAACTCCTGGAAGGCTGCTTCAGGCTTAATACCAGGAAAAACTCCTTCATAGTCAGGGTGACCAGACTGTGGAATAAACTCCCTCCAGAGGTGGTGCAGTCACCTACCATGGTGGTTTTCAAGAGACTGGACAGTCACTTCACTGGGGTCACCTAACTCTAGTTGTCTTCCTGCCTAGAGCGGGGGAGCTGGACCCAATGATCTGCAAGTTCCTTTCCAGCCCCTAACAATCTATGAATCTATGAATAAGTGTAATCCTTTTATATAGTCCCTCTGACACCTGGGTTCCCATGAAAGACACTGGTTAACAATGGCATCTAAATGCTTATATGTAACACCAGAACTGACTTTCCCTTTCACTGGGCACATCTACATGTGTCCCCAACTATGTAGCAAGCACAAAATAACTACCCAGCTACTGTACTGTAGTAGTGGCATCATCATTAGTGCCCGCCAATGCTATAGTGATGTAGCAACAAGCTACATTGCCATAGCTCATTGCTATGGTGACATAGCGTCTTGTGTAGACATGCCGACTGACGTAAGAATAATACATAGATCTGAGAGAAGTGGACTTGATATATACATTTTTTACCAGTCCTTCAGTTGTCCTAAAACTACCCAATAATTCAGCAGTTAGGTTCTGTTCCCTCGACTATTTGCTGTCCTGAATTTGGCCTTGCTAAAATAATTTGATCATTTGTTTTTTCAACTTCTTTAAATCATTAATAGAAATGTAGCATCCCCTTAAATTATTTTGTCTTACTCATTTGTTTATTTATTAGATGTACGTGCCATTCTCCCCAAAAGAAGCCCAAGGTGGCTTACAATAAAAAACAGATAAATTATAAAGGGTGTGTGTGTATGTGTAAGTGCGTCTCTGTGTGTGTGATAGACAAGCTCCCCAGGCAATGCCCCAAAACGTGACCCTGAAGGCTGAAGGTCTGCCCAAATGTAAAGGCCTTATAATGCTTCTAGAAGATGACCAGACTTAGCGTTTGATAGACAACAAGTGGAAGGGAGCTAAGAATAGACTGCTGAGAACAGCACATGAACTCAGTACAATGATAATACTTGCAGGATGTTGCTCTCAACTGACTTTAGGGATTGCAATGGAACAGAAGGGAGAAGGTGGGCTCTGGGGCCCCACATGACCCCCATCCAGCCCCATGTGCTGGGATGAGGCACCATGCTGCTCTGCACTCTTGATACAGCACAAAAGGACATGCTATCCAATACATGGATCTCTCCTGGGACTGGAAATTCAGCAGTTGGGGAGCGGTACTACTGCTCTCCTGCTACCAAAGTTTCAGATCCAGCTCAGGAGTCCCCTTGGCTCAAAAACATGGAATCAAGGGCTGGACCTTGGCCCCAGGTCAAGTGTGGAGTGCCCCGCATTTATGAGTGTAATTGTACAGTATTGTACACCCTGATCACTTATACTGAAGGCAATAGACAGGGACCGCAGTACATCAGCAACACAATCCAGTGAGACTGAGTAGGCCTGATGCAATTGTATAAGGGAGAAATAAAGGTTCCCTTATGTGAAGTTGGTGGCTGTGTTAGAGTTAGCTTTATCCCAGGGACTGAATGGAGTGCAGTGAATACATCCCAAGTCACAGTTTTCTTCCTGTGAAGATTTGGTAGGGAGTAAGCAGAGTTATGGCCCTATCTTTCTCCATGTCCTGTCCAACAGAGCTAGCCATCTTATTGTCAAGGAGTAAGCAGGATCCAAGGAAGATCTGAAGCAGGTTCCCCCATGTTCAGGGCTATGATTAAAATGTACCATTTACCTCTCCATAGGCTTTACAGTGAAAGGTAACTGCCATTCCAGGGTGTTGGTTGTAGCTGTGTTGGTCTAAGACAGTGGTTCCCAACCTTTTTTTGCTGTGACCCTAAATTGACCAACAGCAGGGCCTCCTGACTCAGTGCTGTGGGGGCTGCTAGGAGCAGAGTGCAGTGGTAGCAGCAGCTTGGGGGCGAGGGAGCTGCCATTTCCCCCTTTGTGCACAGCAGCCCTACCCCACCCGCCCACTGCTCCTGGGCTACACCCATGCGTGTGCATATGTGTGTGTGTGCAGGCTCTTCATGACCCTACTGAGGACCCCCTGCGACCCTGATTTGGGTCACGCCCTGAGGTTGGGAACCCATGGTCAAAGGACATAGGCAGACAAGGTTATTTGGGTTTATGTGATATCTTTTAGATAGTTGGTCTAATAGAAAATATCACATTTACCCAAAGAACCTTGTCTGCCTACCATTCCAGGGACATTTTTAATCTTCAGAGAAGACAGAGGTTATATTACTCTATTCGTACAGTTGCCTTTATTGATGAACTGTGATATTCTCCTCTCCTAAAGTTATGATGAAGCAAAAATGAGGATGGAAAAAGATTATCCAAAGAGTGTTGATGAAGAGTTCACAGGAATCACAGGGAAAATAGATGCAGCAGTGGAAGTGAACGGTGAGTATTTATCTATAGATCCACTCACACACACAGAAAATGGACACAAGCCTGTCAATCACTCCTCAGAGATCATTCTGGTGTATGCCAGCGGGGGTAAAGAACATATGCCCAGATCTTCCACTGATCTAAAAGTGCACAACTTGAAGATACTCTAAAGATCCATTAAAGTATTGTATTAATTACAAACCCTTGGATATGATATTCAGTTTAAATGAGCTTTTTCATTTAGTTTTTTATATATTTTGAAATTCTTTAGTGTTCCCTCTTAAATTTTCTCTTAGAAAAATGTGGAAGTAAAAGAACTGTGACATCTTAGTTATCTTTATAATATCATGTATCTTTGTTAATTGAAGTAAAGCTAAATATTCTTTGAATGCAAATAAAAAAAGAGGCTATTCAGACACAGAATGAAGTAAACTCTACAAATCAGAAGTGCAAGGAGTAGAATTCTAACCCAAAATACCATAATTTATGTTTGGCTTCATTGTTAGAGTAATTGCAATATGCACAAAGTAGCTGATCTATGTTGAAGACAACATCCTACTGCTGGTCATAGCAAATGGAGTTTGATCCTAATTTAAAGGTCAGTGCTTTACAGTTAAAAGTCACAGGTTCAGTCCCAACAGTAAGGTTACACAGCAGTGACTGCAGCTTGTCTAGACAGAGATGAACTGGTTTTAAACTAGCTAAGATACTAAGTGCATCCGTGACAGCACAAACCTTAGCACAAGCTAACTATTACAATGTTTACTCAGCTTCTCAGGCAAGCTAGTTTGGTTATGCTGACATGGTCTGCAGGCACAATAGTGCTGAAATGTAAAACTGTCAAATTCCTGGCCCTTACACAAGTAACCCATTGGCAGCAGAAAATGAAATAATTTTTTATCAACATGTAATTTATTAATAGACATTTGCTAGCGTAAAGAGCTTGAAAGCAGCAAAGAACAACCAATACAATGACAAAACAAATATATAGTAACAACTATAAGGTACATCCAATAAGCTATTTATGCTAAGTACTACTAAGAAGCTTATATGTCCATACCCAGTCAAACAGACTCATATCTCATTATGCCTTCTAGGCCACAATCAATTGCTTCAGCACTGAGTCATAGTAGATACTGTATCTAGGAGTTATGTCTGCTGATGTTTATTTCACAATGATTATTGTAAAACTCTTCCTAATAACAGAGACAAAATATACTGGTGGTTTTACTATAATGCCTTTTAGTGCAGTCCCATGCCAATATACCCAGTGAAGTTTAAGCTATCTAGTTTTGGTACTGGTAGTAGTTTAGCTGCACTGTAACCACTTTAAAACCTGCCCAAGCAGTAGAATAAACTCTCAAGTGGTTGGCTCACTCTGAACAACATGCTGCTGGCTACTAGTTTAAAGCTAGATCAGGTGTCCCACACTACACTGCAGCCACAGCAGGGACTGACATGTAGATGTACTCCATGTTCTGGCCTATTTTGTGCTCTGGCACATGAAAATATTCAGCCCTCTTGGGCTAGGGACAGACATACACAAAGCCTGAGCCTGAATTAATTCAATCTTTGCAAGTTAGTCTAACCTGGCTAGAATAAATCACTTTCTAACTGTACAGACATCCCAGGCATGCACACATGTGCCTGCAGTGGCTTAGGCTAGAAGCTGGGGTGGGGGCACTAGAGCAGCCCTCCCTTCCCTTCCACAATACTGGGCTGAGGGGGGCATGGCTAGACCCCAGAAGGATGCTCTGATTAGCCCATCAGGGAATTGGTAACACAGTGTTTATCACCCTTAACTCAGTGTTTACCAATCCATTAAGAAAATAACAGAGGGACATTACCAGCTACCTGTTGATTCTGCTGGTTGATTCTACCTGTTGACTCAGCACAGATCATAGCCAGCATGTGGCCTGCTAGCTAATACACAGACACTTCTCATCAAGGCAAGTGGGAGGGTGGAAGTCCTGCTTAGCAGGGAGTGGTGAGGAGGAGGGGAGGGAGAAGCTTGCAGTCTCTGCCGGACCTGCAACCAGGGAGCAGAAGGGAGGGGCCAGCCCTGCTGTGGAGCAAAGAGCCCCACCCAGCCCAAAGCGTATGCCAGGATGCTAGGGGAGTCTGGTTTATCTTAAACCAGTAAGAGGTCTGAGACAGACATAGCATAAACTGGTTTCAGCCAAATCAGTTAAGTCTGATACTACATTCAACCAGGTTTATCTCAAACCGGTTTCAGCCATTTTTAAACTGGTTTATGTGTACTAAACATCTGTTCTGTTACAGGTTTAAATGCATTTCTGATCACTTAAACCAGTTTATGTGTAATGTCTGTCCCTAACCTTCAGGGCCCAATCCTGGTGGATCTTCTGGACTTATAGAAATAACCAATAAAAACACTGCTTGATTTTGAGTCTGTCATTTTAGAAACCTCAAGGTCTAAAGGTGCCATTCGTCACACATCATCATGTCACAGTGGCTGCTTTAACTCTTAAAAAAAAGAGAATCCCCAGAAATGGTTGGTATTTTAAGTGCTTCTGTAATCTACTCATATACCCTGAAAGTCAAACAACTGTCAAAAAATGAATTAAACAGCCTGATACACATCTATTAATACATGTACAGTATTGTATTACAAGAGGGAAGTTACAAAAAGTTAGTTTCTATAACCAGTATTTCCTTTTTTTTAAGGATTCATTTACTTCTTTTCTGGCCCTAAAGCTTATAAATATGACAGAGAGAAGGAAGATGTGGTTAATATTGTGAAAGCCAGTTCCTGGATTGGTTGCTAAACAAACGCTGAGACAGATCACAAGTGAAGGTGGAAGAAACTGAATGTTTCCTGAGAAGAACTGAATGTTTCCCCTGAGAAGAACATTTTGCAGGGTGAATGTTATAGCTTAGCCCAGAAAACTATTAAAATAAATACGTTACTACAGTATTGGAAAGTGTAGCAGTCTCATCTTAGAAAGTCCTGATCACATGAATTTTGTAAGTCTGTCCATAGATAGAATTAATTCTAAATTAAATTAAATAAGAAATCCTTTCTGACCAGTCTTCAGTGGCCCATGTGAAATAAATTGTTCAATGGCCAGGTGCTCCAGTGAGAGAACTACAACTGTAACTGATATGAACTGACTCCTCCTGCTGGTATCACCAGAGACACCCCTAAAAAATGTGAAGGAAAAACTACAGTGCTTTGCTAGAAATGTCCCTACCATGTCAAATGAGACAGAATGGTACAGGGAAGTTGGCACTACTGATGTCTATGCTTTCGCACCTGTCATCAGCCCAGCTTTTATTAATGGCAGAAGGGATGTCTGAACAAATTTGTTCATCCTACAGACTATATCTTATTTTGTGTTGCTTTGTGCATGAGATTATTTACAGAAATGACACAACTATTCAGTTAGCAAGTGTAGGCTGAAGTACTGACACACTTGATTGATAGCCCAGAGATCTCAAGTTTGAGGCCACAGCAGAAGTGCTCATGGTACAGACCTGTCAGATTTCAACGAAATCTGTGAGTTCTGTGAAATACTTTGTCACAAGAATACAAAAAGGAAGAAAGTTAGCAAGAAGCAACACTGGGAGATTTGTATATTGCATGAATATGAACAATAAACAATCATGATACAGTCTATAGATTTACAGCAGCAAATTCTGGAATTTCCTGCAGCCTGCAATAATTACCTAATTAAGCACAAAAGGCTTGTTTAAACACTATGAGCATAAGACGACTCAACATTCATTTCCCCCCCTACATGAAGCTCTCTGTTCACCACTAACAAAAGCATATTAAAAAAGGACTGGAAGGGACATTAATACTTAGTTTGCTCCCCTGTGCCAACATAAACTCAAGTACACCTAAACCATGCCTGACAGTCTGCTGTTAAAAACTTCCAGTGACAGAGATTTGACAGCCTCTCCAGGTAATCTACTCCCTTGCTGAACTACCCGTATAGTAATAAAGTCTTTTGTGGTGTCTAACCTAAAATTTCCTTGTTGCAATTTAATTCCATTTCCTTTTGTCCTGTCTCCAGGAGACAGATGGAACATAGTTCCTCTTTGCAGTAACCCTTACATATTTGAAGACTAGGCGATGTGAAGCTTCGGGTGCTGATTTGATTCATAGGAGATTCGGCCTGATTCAGTGGCTGAATCTGCAGATCCATATCAAATCGGGGGCTAATTAAAAGGTCTAAATCAATTTGAAGCTCTCCAAATCAATTTGGAAAGGATTTGGAGAGCTTCGGCAATTCGGGCAGTCCCTCCTCACTGCAGCAGGGAGCTGGACCTGGACTCCATGCTGGTAAGTAGGGGGTGGGAGAGGGGGGCTGGAGGAAGGGGGAAGGGACCATGGGGAGACCCCTACCAGGCTCCATCCCCTGCCTCCTACCCCAGCCCCCCTGAGCATCCCCTGACAAAAAAACCCAAAACCCCACACTCACCAGCTGCTGCAGAGGCCTTGGATCTTCAAGGGGCTTGTGGAAGAGCTCCCCCATGTAGCATGAGGCAGTGGGGGGCAGTAGGGATTGCACACACACACACCCTCCCACCAGGCAGGAGCCAATGAGTCCAGGGTTTTTTATTTGGTTGTTTTATAAAGGGCTGGGAGCTGGAGTGGGCAGGGCAGCCACGGGGGCTGGGGTTGGAAGAACGGGCAGGGGTCAGGGGGGTCATGATGGAACTATCCCATGTGGTGTGTGGCAGTGTTGGGCAGGAACCAGCGAATGGGGGCTTTTTTTCCAAAGAGCAGGGAGCAGGGTCCAGGTGGGACAGCCATTGAGAGGGGGCGAGGGACGGGACTGATTCGGAAATTCGTCTGATTCGGCAGCAGCTGAATCTCTGAATCAGATTCAGCCGAATCGATTAGGGACACTGATTCGAATCACTGAATCGAATCACTGTCCCCCAAGTTGGCCGAATCTGAATCCAAAGTGAATACTAGCCGCTTCACACAGGCCTATTGAAGACGACTATCTGTGCTCAGTCTTCTCATTTCCAAACTAAAATGCAATTCATTCAATTTTTCCTCATAGGTCAAGTCTCCTAAACCTCTGATCATTTTGTTTGTTCTCTTCTGAAATCTCTCCATCTGGTCCACATCTTTGTTGAAATATCGTGCCCAAACTTGAACATAATACTCCAGTTGAGGCCTTACCAGTAGAAGAACTACTTTCTGTATCTTACATACATCACTCCTGTTTATACATCCCAGTGTGGTAGTTGCTTTTTCTTAATAGCATGACATTGTTCATGTGCAGTTTGTGATAAGCCTCATGTCCTTTTCTGCATAACTGCTGCCTATCCAACCATTCACCATATATTTGTGAAGCTGACTGTAGTACTTTGAACTTCCTTTTGAATGGCATTCTATTTATTTCTGACCATTTCTCCAGATGCTCCTTTTTAAAATCTTATCCTGTCCCCTGAAGTACTATGAACCTGCTCCAGTCAGCAAAAGTTTTTCCAGTACAGATATTGTGCAAGGCTGCCTACAGCTATACTAGGAAGACTCTTTTAGAAGTCCTGATGTTGGAACATGCTAATACAGGCAATCCTCGGACTTACGACACAATTGGTTCTTGAAAACTGCATCTTAAGTTGAAATGTTGTAACTTGGAGCCAATTTTGTCATAAGAAACAATGTTATAAATGGGGGATTGGTTCCTGAATCAAGGCCTGATACCCTATTTGCACCAAAAATACCCCAGAAATTTGTACTCAATCAATTATAGATAAATAATATAGCTACATTAATGTATTTATACTGTAAATAGCAACCATATTGATTTGGAAGCACTACTTTGAGTTGGCTTTCCTGGACTTTTTGAAAGGCTCTCGGTTGGAGTCTTTGAAGAGTTATTGGCCGGAGTCTTCTCAGGAGTCTTGGACGCAGGTTTCTCTGGAGATTTGTCTGCTTTCTTAAAGAAAGTGTCCAAGGAAGTTTGGACAAATGTTCTCCAGGGAGATAAGCGATGCAGCGAACTTGTTCGCTGGTGTGGCGTTGCATCGGATCAAGTGTTGTAAGTCGAACCTGACATCATAAAGTTGAAACAGGGCATCAATTTATAAATGTTGTAAGTGCAAAACATTGTAACTCAAAACATTGTAAGTCAAGGACTGCCTGTATTTGATTGTTGTAGGCCAATAATACTGTAGCAATTCTGGAAAACACTTATAGGCAGTTTTGGAAAACTCAGAGATGTCACCTGGCCTCTGCTCAGGCTAAACTATAGAAGTGTCCTTTTTGGCTAACAGAACAATCTAGAATCATTCTGGAACCTGCCTATCTTCTCTGCCTGTCTCTCAGCTTGGAAATTTATACAAAAGATGCAGCATATAATTTCATTCCCAGGTATCTGCAGTATATAAAATGAGCCCTTTAGTTTCTCATCCTACATTCTAGTGACTTTGTGTGTGAACATTATAAACCAGAATTGTGCATACTGATTCCAATTTCTGCATGCTGGGAGCAATTGAGTATTTATCAGTATATGCTTAGCTCTATAAAAACATAATGGAAGCTGGTTTGGGGCCCATTTGAAAATACAGTCCCAAAATATCAGGTATGCCGATAAGCAGTTGTTCAATGCAATACTAAAATAAGTTACTAAATTTAGCAGACTGTATTGAGTAATCCTAAAAAGTCATACAAACAGATGAGGAAATTGATTAAGAGAATTTGAGAGACTTGTCCAAAGCCACAAAGGTATAAGAAATCGTAATGACGCATTACCACAGTGCCAGCCAGCTGTGTAAATATTTATACATAAAGTATTTTATATAGAACTGACTGATGCAAGGAATAATTGTTCTTTCAGTTTTTTGCAAAATAAATGAGTGTGTTGTAATTTTCATTAAAACTGAAAAGTGTAAATTACTTGTTCTCTTTGGTTGATAGTCTGAATGATTTTTACTAAGGTGCATGCTAGACTAAAATTACTGGAAGTTAGAGAAAGAACATGCAGCTTCATACCTCCACTAGTTTGTCTGAGTCTGCCAACTTTTAGCATGCAGTAGGATGAATTCTAGTTCACCCACTAAATGTCAACTGCATAGCTGCCAACAAACTTATATGGCCTAGAAGAACAGATTGACTTTTATTAGTAAATGTTTAGGATTGGGAATCCAAAAAGAAAGATGACAAAGCCAGTAGGGAAATACAGATCGCCTGAGCAAGGGACTAACAATAGAGGGATGGGGGTGAGGAGGGGAATGCAACTAGGTTACAGGATATACAGTGTTAGCCAACTAAGCCCAGGGGTGGGGGATGGGGGAAAAGGGGAAGGGGAGGGAGGGGGTTTGCAATGCTGAGAGAGAAAGGAGATAGATACACACAAACCTGTTACAATGGTCCACAATGGTGGAAGAAGTGGTTCGAGGGAAGTGTCTCAGTCCATATAGAGTCTCATCGCGGGGGTCGTCTTCGGGTGGAGCAGGGTCGTACGTGCTTGAAGAATCCTCTCGAAGTAAAGGTCCGTCTGGCACAGAGCGGGGGTGGTTCAGGCAGTCTACTTTTCCACAGAGCCATGCATCTCTCCTGTTTCAGTGGGCAGCACTTAGACAGCACTGAAACAGATTGCTGTTTACCCAAGAGAGGCATGGATCCTTCAGTGGAAAATTTTAATCTCTGTCTGGTCAGAATGCTACTTTCTCCTCACTGTATGATGCATATGCATCTTAGCAGGCCTGTGACTATGAGGCCAACTGCATTTACCTACCAAAGATGTTACTTCTCCTCCTAAAATAACATAGCTATTAGAGAAGTCACCCAGGATAATGAACACCTGGGTTCTAGGCCCCCTTAGTCTCAGGACATTTGGACCCACACTTCTTATATCCCAGCTAAGTTTCCTAATCCCCAGAGTTCTGGGGCAAGATTTTCAGTACCTTCCATCCCATGCCCCAACCCCAGAAGCTGGACTACTGGATGTCTAAGAGGGGAAGAGTCATTGGGCTAAAACGAAATAGAGGAAGAAGGGGTCCTATATGATGGTCCCTGTTTCTAAGAGTCTTGATGCATCTACATGAGATGCTACGGCACAGTAGCAACAAGCTACTGCACCACAGCTTGTTACTACTATACAGTAGCATTGTTAGGCACTAAACACATGGTGACAATACTGAGCAGCAGCATCAGAAAAAAAATGTGCAGTGATGGTACTTGCTTCTTCAAGTCCTGAATGACTGTGCAGTAACAACTGTGTAGTCTGCCACTCATGTAGACATGACCAGTGACTATTTAAGGCCAAAGGTATCACATACAATGGTACATTTCTGTAGATGTGCCACTAAAAATCATGGACTGCATTTCTAGAGATGTGCTGCTAGTCTGGACTCCATTTTAGCAACAGGGGACAGGATCTGGCCAAATGGATTTGCATCACTGCAAGTGAGAGGAGCCTCTGGTCTACAGTGATCTGAAAACAAATGGCTCACCAATCCTTAGTATGTCCATTCTGCCTTGCTGTGTAACTTGGGCATGTGGGCTAAGTAGAAAAATTCGGGGGCATTAGGGGGAGGTTAGATCAATTCAAAATGGCTGCCCAATATCAGGTAAGTCAGGATGGGGGAGGCTAGTGGGAGGTTGGGGGTCTGCCAGCGAATGGGGAGAGGCATGACCAATAAGGGTGGGCTGGGCAGGTACAGCCTGCAGGTGTGGGGGGTTGAGCCAGTGCAACCCACAGGTGGGGTGGGGGAGTAGACACAATCTATTGGTAGGGGGGGCAGTGTGACCCAGAGGTGGGGGGGGCAGGTGCAACCCATGGGTGGAGTGGGTATCCCAATCCAGTAAAACTATACCCCCATCCCTCCCACCCCTTACTTGCTCAGCTCCAGCAGAGGCAAATGCTGATAAAGGTGGCTGAACCCTGAGCAGTTTGTGGGGGTTGAAAGAGTTGGTCGGGTGGGGGGCAAGGGGCTGGGGAGGCAAAAAATAACCCAGTGTGTGGGGAGGGAGCAATGAAAAGAGCAGTCCCAGGCCTGGGTTTTTCCAGCCCCAGGGCTATACAAGACACTTCCATGCACCAGTTTGACCTAAACTGAGTAAGTTTGATACTACATAGATCCAGGTTTATCTTAAACTGGGCTCCACAATTTTTAGATCAATTTGTGTACATGGAATTTCTGTAGAGTTGTAAGTGTAGACAGTTTACCAGTCACAGACCAGGTCTATAAAGGGTTTAAGTCCTCAGCCAGGGTGTGCTGGGAGTGGAGGTGAGGGAGTGGGGGAGAAGGAACCCTCATTAGGCTTCCCCTCCCCAACTCACTGCTCAAGGGGTGGGGAATGTTGCCAGCCCCCAGCCCCTAGCACTCTGAGGCAAAGGGTGAGTGTGGGAGGAAAGACAGCTTCTGTGGACTGCATGCATCTGTTGATGATATTAAGCTTTTCAATCTCCCTCTCCCTGCTTCTTCATACTTTCTGCAGCAAACTGATAGGCACTGCATTCATTGCAAACTAGATGATTCCTTACCTCTCTCTGTTCCCCATTGAACACTGACAGCAAGCCAGAAGCCATCAGGAAGTTTATCAAAACACAAAGCTTATCAGCCCATCAAGAAAACAAAGCCTTTGTCTCATTAGTTCAAGCTCTTCTTAAGCAGCTTTTTACAAAGCATTTGTAAGGAAGAATTGGAGGGACATTACTAGTTGACTTGTTGATTACTTCCAAAAAGCCCGAAGTGGACACTGTTCTGTCTGCCTTTGTTCCAGTTAAATTGGAGACACACACACATAGACAACTCTCAACATTAGTTAGGAGGTGGGTGGCATGACAGTGACCAGATGCTGAATGGGGTCCATGCAGTAGCTTAGCAACAATGGGGGTTGGGAGGGGCATGCCAACCGGGGGGGAAAGGGGCCTGCTGGCTGGGCCCTCCAGAGGTACTCACAGTTTCATAGTTTCTAGGGTCAGAAGGGACCTGAGTAGATCATCTAGTCCAACTCCCTGCCATGGCAGGAAAGATTACTGGGGTCAAACGACCCCAGCAAGGTGTTCATCTAACCTCCTCTTAAAGTACCCAGGGTAGAAGCCAGCACCACTTCTTTTGGAAGTTGGTTCCAGATCCTAGCCACCTTGACCGTGAAGTAGCGCCTCCTGATATCTAGCCTAAATCTACCCTCTGCCAGCTTGTGACCATTATTCCTGGTCACTCCTGGCCGTGCTTGGGGGAACAGGGACTTCCCCAGTGCCTGCTGATCCCCCCTGACTAGTTTGTAACAGGCCACTAGATCCCCCCTCAGCCTTCT